GAAAGCATAGAAGGATGTACTGCTTTTAGGGTGAGATCACAGTGGGTAAAAAAACGTCTGTGTTGCTCTAGAGGATTTTTAAATATTATATATTGTTTAAATAAATTTAAAAGACTTGTAAAAAAAGAGAAAGAAGAAACCCTGTGCACCTGTGTCAGACACCTCGGCTGATTGTTTGATGACCCTGGATGAGAACTTTTTGGACAACCAGCGGATTATTTCACAGCCTGCTGTCTGGTAACTCTGAGACTGTCTCCCTCTGGACCCAAATGAACTGACAGACTGAAGGCAGAATTCACAAAAAATGGATCACGGCTGCCAACAGCCACATAAATTATGCACACATTTTCAGAGCTATCTCAAAGTCCACTTAACAAGGAAAGCATATGGATGACATTCAAACTCAAACACGCCGCCGTAAAGTTCTCTGCTCCGTGCAGCCTTCTGAATGTGACGATGAGCCGTCAGCACCTCGACTCTCTGAGCGCTCTCATCCTGACACGCTCTAATCTGTGAGATGTTTCTCTTGAAATCAAGCTCGATAGCATTAAATCACTTAAATAATTATGCAATAAAAACTGTTGCGCTGAAAACTTACCTCGAGGACAAACTATTTCTGCAGTTCTGGTTTTTCAATTCTGATTTGTGATTTTTTAATAAGTTGCCTAAAACATCAGTGTCCAGGGAATGGTGAGCAATTCAGACACCTGGCATGTGTGAGCTGCTGGTTTCCTCCGATCCAGAAAGGTCCTGACTGTTTTTACAAAGTCCGTCTCGTAGCTCTCCAGGTTCATAAATATGAACTCACAGTTGAAACACCTGCACCACCAGGTAACTTTGGATCTGTCCTGTCCTCCAGTTTCCATAGAAGTTTCCCCACCTCTCGTTCAGACCTCTTGAGTCTCTATCTGCAGAAGAGTTTCCTCTTTCTGCGCTCCTTCAAAGAACCATCTTGTCTCTCCAAAGTGGGGTCAGCCCTATGTTCCCACAGCCCTATGTTCCCACATTTCTAAGAATTTTCTCAAAATTAGGCTGTATATTCCAACAGGGTTAGGGTTAGGGTAAATTACCCTAACCCTAACCCTAACTGATACAAATTTATGAAAAAGGAAATGTGGGAACATAGGGCCTAATTTTGAAAAAATCTTAGAAATATGGGAACATAGGGCTGTGGGAACATAGGCACGCTCCCGTACAGACGTAGCCACAAGAAAGAAATTAAAACACTGTAGTACACATGCCAGGCCAGTAGTTGGCAGTATGACTGTGTAATGAAACGTGAGGTAGTAATATGAAAAAGTCTTGTCCCCTTTGGGCTGCCATTCGCTGGCGTTCAGGTGGATTCAGTATTTGGTGCATTTAATGCGTCTCGCTGATCAGTAAATCTTCACTTTGCTGGAGAAGAGTTGTTAAATTAAAAAGATTGAGCAACACAAACAGAGCTTGGGAGTCCGCCATTGTTGTTGTAGTCTACCTGGCTCATTTGCCAAAAGTCTCCGTTGTCAGAGGAACTATTGCCAGTTTATGCAGTGACGGAGACCCATTTTCAAAACCTTCTATTTCCACGGACCTGAAACGCTGTTGAACATCCAAAACATGTTTTTGTCGTCTCTGTCGAAGCTCCAAGACCCCGAACAGCTGCCGACTTGCTGGGCATGGTCAAAATGTGCTGCAAAATTGCTGGCACTTCTCTGAATGACCTGATTGATGTGTTTAAACTCAGAACTCTTAAAATGGCTCGGCCTATCCTGCATGAAGCCAACCACCCACTTTTTGAGGAGTTCTTGCTGCTCCCATCTGGTCGCAGAAACGTCCTTCCAACATGCAGAACAAACCGACTCTTTTGTCCTGGCTACCATCAGCCACGTTACAACTCAATGATATTTATTTATGCATTCACATTATTTCCCTTTTATTCTATTAAGTGTGTTTTCCGATGCATGTCTTTTATTTCCTCCTATAGTTTAATGGTTTGTGTGGTGCTGCTGGCTGGAAAGAACATTTCCCCTCGAAGATAATAAAGAAGTCCTTGATCATGTCGTGCAGCCAGTCAAAGTGACTTGCTGATGGAAAGTAAAGCACTGAAGATTTTCTCCTTATAGAGTGAACTGACAATGATTCATCTATCATGAAAGACGAGTTGTCGAGCTTACATGACAACACTCTAACCGGGTTCTCAATAAAGCAGCTGAGCTGATCGGCATCTCTTCTTGGTAACACACTTACTATTGACACGTACCTCATACTACCACACTTAAAAAAACAACAACTATCCCTTTAATGTGCGCAAACAACACATTTGCTCTGCAGCCAAGTTTGGGAACCATTAACTCGGGTTTAACAGGCTCAAAAGCTGCACAATCCTTTTGTTAATGAATCCTTAAAGGTACAGTCAGTAGCTTTTTCCTTCAAAATAAAAGACAGATTTCTCCTAAAGTGAAGCTGCTCCATTGTCCCTTCTGGGCCTCCATACATGTGTGGTGGTGACTGTGTCTGCAGAGACTCTGTCCTCTGACTGGATTTTACTGTTCTGCTTTGTTCTGGTTGACTCGGGACGTTTCTGGGCGGAGCTGGTGTGTTTCCTCCAGCCAATGACAGCACAGCAGGTGAGTGTAGGAGTGGATACAATTCAGTGATTGGACGTCATTCAAAGCGGTGAATATGACGGACGTGGACGTAGCAGCAAAGAAGAGAAAATATAATCAGAGTGAGGAGAAACACCAAGTGGATAAAGCTAATTCTAAAACGAGGGTGAACCTTGTGTTGTCTTTTACCCGTGGACGTGGAGTACTTCCTGTTGGACAGACAGGTGACAAACACCGGCGGTTAGCTTGTGCTAGCGTGTGTTAGCGTTCAGTGTAACTACAAGCAGTAAACGTACACACTACTTCCTGCAGTGAGTCCAGGAGGAGGGGCCCAGTTTGAATGTGTTTACAATCTGCAACCAACATTTCCACTGACTACACCTTTAAATTATTTTAACTTCACTTCTCTTTTGTTGAAGTTGGGCTTTAAGTGTTCTGTATTTTTGAAAATTTTGAAAATTTTGAAATAGATTTCAACATCTTCTAAAAACTACAGCAGAGTCAGAGTGTCCAGTTGATCTCAGTTATAATCCCTGTAATGTCGAACTGAGCTCTTGTTGATTGTACCGGCTTTTTGTATTTTTGACCTTCATTCAGCATGATGCCCAAGGTCTCTCTTTGTTTCTCAACTACAGAACAGAGAAGTCGACCCACAGTTTAACTGTGACCAGCTTCTACGGGATTCAACCAAAGGATTCAACCAAAGGATTCAACCTTGAAACGGGAGGAGGCTGATGTGTCAGCACAGAGCGCGCTCGGAGCCTCTCTGTTGATTATCTCCAACACAAAGCGACCTGAAGGTATTCATGAGCATGAGGAGCACATGAAAAAAGACAGTAACTGTATCATCATGGCTGGGTGGTGACAGATTGCATTAGTACTTACCTTGAGTATATAGATGCATGGGTCCTCTGCTTTGTACCTTTTGTACATATAAGATGTGAGAGAAAGATAAACATACCTGAATCTCTCACAGGTTCATTGATATGGAAATATGAAACTATGTGCTCAATAAAATCTGAAAAAGTCAAATGTGTGCTAAGAGTTTTTGTTCTGAGCTCATAAGTGAGGTCGGTGTCAGAGTGCTGCCAAAGGTCAGGTATAAAAAAAATGTGAAGTTCGCTGTTTAGGTCAGGTGTTAAATCCCTAAAGGGCAAACCTTCCTGACACCGTTTTGGATGCCCCTCGGTTTGCCAGATATGAGAGCAGTTATCAGGTCAAACCAACAGGTGTTGCAGCGATGGAAGCGGGCAAGAGAAGTGGTTCAGATAAAAGTGATTGTACCCGACCTAAAAAGCCTCTGCATGTTTCTAATAAGCTCCACGAGCAGAAACGTGCTCAAACTAGGATCAATAATAAAATGGAGAGAGGTTAGAACACAGAAAGGTTTACAGACCCATGCAGAGCTGGATAAACACTGAAGCTTCAGTGTCCACCACATGGTGACCTGCGTGAGCATCCACTCTAGAGAGGAGGGGGCGGGGGGAGACAGCTCTCTACAATGTTTAGAATTTAGACTGCAGTACCCATTTTAAACACTAGGGGTCAGAGTTACATACTGCTCCTTTAACTTCTCAAAAAACTTTTACAAAAGCAAGCAGGCTTTTCGCTCCATGTTTGGCGCCCCAGGCCTCAGTCCTCATCATCCCCCAGTCTCTTTGTAAATTCATTATTTCAGTGTTGTGGAAACAGCTTGACCCCGAAAAATATTATTGCTGCTTTCACAAACATGTAATTAGTAAGCTTTTAGCTCGGATGCTAATGACACGGGTGGGTAAAAACAGAGGTTGAGCTTTTTAAAATTTATAGCAACAACTCTCCAAATCCAACGTTTGAGAGATAAAAACATAAACTCGTCCTTCAGACTTCAAAACAACATCACAGACCGAGTTAATATTCTTTGAGCATCATTTCAATTTACCTAAATCAGTTCAGAAGAATCTATTTGATGTGGAACTTTCAGAGAAGTGTTCTGCCAAAGTATGAAACTGCAGAAATAAACATATTCAGAAAAAAAGAGAAATGCATCCAGCACATTTTGGATCCAGTTTTCTTTTCAGGTTGCAGATGAACTCAAAGAGCTTCCTCGTCTTAGCTTTGACTTTATTTCAGTCTGATTTAAGAAGATAAACCAGTTTGTGTTCTGATGTCAGTGTGATGTAGAGCTCATCGTTTGATCCAGACCCCCCAGAGACGCAATGATGATGATGAAGGAGATGGTGATGATGATGCTGATGGGACGAACTGCTGCGCTGCTGCTTCTATACCTTCTCTGTGTGGGCGATGATAAAACTCCTGAAGCGGGGAGGCGGTGCTGGTTGGATTATTTACGCATGAGGTGCTCCTCCCATTGGTCCCTGACAGGAGCCGCTCGGTGACACCGCAGAAGCTCCGGATATAAAAAGAACGACGACGAGTCGCGCAGGAGGAACACAAGAGTTGGAGGGCGGACATCGAGAGAACAGTAGATGGTGGATGAACCTCTGAGAGACTTAACACGGCTGGAAGTAACTGTCCAACTCCTGAGGTACTTTAACAACTCTTTAATTTATTTCTTACAACTTTAATTTAAAAATAATCTCGCGTTTCTCTGATTTGTTTTTGATATCAAAGAGTAGGAAAATACTGGTTCCTGTGCACAATTACGCACAGCGCACAGCTCTATGTGATGTGAAAACTGTGATCTTTAATGACTAGTTATTGAACAGACTACATTTAAAATGTTTAAAGTCATATTTCATGTACATATGAAGTTTTTTTTATTTAACTCTGAAGGCTGAAACCTAAAATGAACCGAGAGAGCCAATCTCTCCATCACTGCTTGTGCTGTTTTTCAATTTTCGCTGTTTGTTTGATTTTGTTTGTTTGTTTGTGTTCTTCTGGGTGTATTTATTTGTGTCAGGGATCTGGTGAAGAATGGAGTGGTATGTCCTGGTGCTGATGCTGAGCTTGCCGCCCTCCATCCACGCAGATTGCTCTTCACAGTGTCAGAAATGCGCGCAACAGATGCTCAGCTCCGACGACGCATTCAGCAGCCTGGTAAAAACGCAGACACGGAACCTGATTCACAATATTTTAAAACTCTTTTACTTACAGTTTATGTTCAAATTACTCTGCTGAAGCCTCGTGTTAATTTGGGATGCCTTTGTTTTATTTTTCATGATTTTAATTCCCTAAGTTCTCTCGCGCAAGAGACCAAATATTAAGTCAAAGTGAAGCGCAAAGGAGACTCAACATGACATGTAATGGCTGTAACTTCTGTTTTAATCTTTCACTCATCAGTAAATGCAAAGCTCTGGGAAAGCAGATTGTTTGGTTTTATGACTTTGGAGCTACTAAGTGGGGGGATTGGGAGGAAGACAGGGTTCTGAAAGTGGTCTAACTTGCACAGGTGGCTCTAAGATGCATTAAAAAGATGTGAAACTGACTTAGCTGTATCCCTGGTGCTGGTTGGTCTCACCCTCTTCTTCTGTCCTCCTGCAGTCATGCAGCGCGGAGTGTGAGGAGCAGCTGGAGAGCTGCGGCCGGGCTCCGGCGCTGGCGGACTTCAGTCAGGACGAGGCTGCGGCGGAGGAGGAGAGCCAGCAGGCGGACCTGGTCAAACGCTACGGGGGCTTCATCAAGAGGATCGACAAGAACAAGAACAAAATCTTCAGCTCTCCGTGGCGCGAAAATTACATCATGAAAGCAGGAGCGCTGCCCAAGAAATATGAGGACTTGTTGAAGAGGCTGGAGGAGAGAGACGTGCTGGAGGACGCGGACGACGCACCGGACGATCAGATGCTGCATAATTATGTGAAACGTTACGGCGGCTTTTTACGCAAATTCGGCCCAAAGACAAAGAGGAGTAGCTCCGCGGAGCAGGAGAGCGAGGAGCCCGAGGAGCTGCAGAAGCGCTACGGAGGCTTCATGCGGAGGGTCCGGCCAAAGTTGAACAACCTGAAGTGGGACAAGCGGTACGGAGGCTTTCTGCGCCGACACTTCAAAATCTCAGTGCGCTCAGTGGAGGAGCCGTATTACTCCTATGATGACGTGAGCCTATAGACGAACCTGCTGGAGGAGAAAAAAAAAACAAAAAAAAAGAACTGATGCAGGTTCACTTACAATGCCACCATTTATCCCCAAAGTCTCATCTGCCTGCCTCCTGCGTATATCGGCTGCCTTCTGTGTAACAACATCCATCTGTGTGTTATTGGCACCTCCGTCTGTCACTCAATAAAGGATGCTTGTTTAATAAAACAACCAATGGAAACATCTCCTTATTTGTTGAGACGCCATGAGGCCACAGTCCCTGTGCGCTTTTCTTTCTCATCCATGGTACCAAACTCCAGCTTAAAAATTAGCAGATTTAGATTTCCTTTTATGTTCATACTTGGGATAAACTTTTCACCTAAATGTGGTCCTCACTCTCAGTGCATAGACCACTAAGATTATTAAAAGGTTTGATTAAGACGTGAACATTTATGTAAAATCCTGAGATGTATGTTTGGATATTATGGCGCCAAATTTATCCCGATTTTATGATCCAAACGAAAAAACTCAAAATTAAGTTCGGTGGTTGTTACTGGGTGAAAAAAAAATATATTATTGAGATTTGGTTGAAATTCTCTTTCATAACACCCGAACATGTGCTGAGATAAAATAAGGTTTAAAACAAGAGTTTAAACTTTAACTGTCAGGATATTTTTTAACTTGCACGTTAATCACTATTAAAATATTTAATAATAATAAGGGTCATCGTTTTTGCCATTTCGTAATATAAATTATTGGTATCTGTTTGAATGTTCATGCCTCACATTGATCTTAATACAATGAGAAGAATTGACCAGCGAGAATGATTAAAAAAAGCCATTGTAGTGATGTTAAAGCGCCATCTTGAGGGTAAGTAAGGGGAAGTGCCCAGCAGAGACACGTATGCCCATATTTGGTCAACATCAGACAGTTTACTAAATTCAAATAAACTGTTACAGGGTCACTGTGTGGTAGTTTGATTAATTAAATTGTGTTTAGTATATAAGAGAGTTTTTTTGTGGGGCTTTTTGTGTCTTTATTTTAGAAATAGGACAGTGGATAGAGTGAGAGTGGAGAATGACATGCAGGAAAAGACACACAGGTCGGATTCGAACCCGAGTCGTCCACTTAGAGGACTACAGCCTCTGTGCAAAGCACTAGGCTACCTCCCCAGTTTTTAATTAATACACGATACATTTTAAAGATGAAGATATTGTGTTAGGTTTTTTTTGAGTGCTTTAGGTGACATCTCCAGACGTTCTACACCAGGATGATGTTTACATTATTCAAATCTTGCAGAGGCTTCATGCCTGTTGAAACTGTGGAGCCCCTTCAGACTTGGTTTGTAAGAGATCTGATAGCCATGGAAAAATTAGCAATTCAGATGTGAGGGATTTTGCATGATTTAAGGTCTCTTCAGACTGATCGAGAAAAATAATAATAATACCCGTTCTGCCTTTGATTATAAAAGTTTCAAAATGGCAATTTTCTTCCCATTTTTCTCAGAGGAAACACCCCTCGACCACCCTCTAACTTAGCCCCTACAGAATTTTGGTTGCTTGACGGCACTAAAAACAGGGGTTTGTAAATGCTCGTAATAGTCCGCTACATCAGGTAAAAAAATTAAAAAAACATAAAAATGTTTCGCAAACTTTAACGGGATCTGAAATATTTTCAACCGATGATTTTTTGCAGTCCTGCATCTTGATGTACTGAATAGTGTCTTTCAGAGAAAATATTATTTTATGCTACTAAAAGGTAAAGCAGTGCTGCCTTTTTAGTCCTGTTTCTATTAAATACATTTAGAATATATTAAGATCATAACTGTCATGTCAAGACAGCAGACTCAAACAACAACCGAGGTAACTCCATTTGATAAAGACAGTCGCATGAAATTTTAATTAATTATTATTTTTTATAAAACCGAGTTTCCTGACTCTTTTTCTCTGTGATCGAGTCACTTCCCCCCGATTAAGACTTAAAGGTCACATGTTCTCCTCCTCTTTTAAATAAGTCTCAGAGGAGGTGCTGATGGTTAAAGTAGACACTAGAAAAAGAAATGCACCTCTTGAAAATCTTTGCACAGTCCTGTTAGAGATAAATCTTCGAGTTATTTCCAGTTGAGAGACGACCGACTCTACCACTGAGCCACAGCCCTTAAAAGTGAGAAAAATGAATCCCTCCGAATGCTTTGATACAGCTGTATCAAATATATTAGTTACAAAAAACATATTTACAGTAAAATCACAACAACCATAAAATCACACTCATGACAGCCGACTGTGTTCTAGTACAAATTGAGGCATCTTGAAAAGCAAAGAGGCGTCTACAAAGGAAGGTTTATGAGTCGAGGAACAAAATAAGCACAATGGATGAAATGTAAAAGTCAAAATGTGTTCGAGGCATCGAAGGAGAAACTTTGAGTCCGGAGTCCAAAGTGAATCACCTGCTGACAGACGAGAGAGAACATCTGTGTTTGTCTCACTGCTGCTGCTCCGTTGGCTGCTCCTCGTCCTCTCTGACCTCCTCAGTCTGACCCTCCTCCTCGCCCTCCGCCTGGTTTTCCTCCTGCGGGACATCTGCCGTGGTTTCCGTGGCGTCCACCAAACTGATGCCGAGCTGCTGCTGGATGGCGGAGCCCTGCGCGGTGGTCAAACCCTGCAGCCCGGCGGGAAGCGTCACCAGCTGGAACTGCGAGCCGAGCAACTTAACGAAGGCCGCCGAGCCGCCGGCCGCGCCCTCTTGACCCATGGCCGTCGAGAGCACGGTCAGGTTACCGGTGTCGGTCGCCAGCTCTGACCCAGAGAGCTGCGAGGTCAGGAAGGTGTACCCGCCCAGGTTGGCGCCGGCCTGGTTTCCTGACAAAGTCAGAACCTTCCCCAGCGGCAGGCTGGTCAGCTGGTTCAGAGGCAGAGTGATCTGAGTGGGGGTGGCGTTGACCGAGGCGGGGCCAGAGACGGCGCGGGTGAGACGTGGTCGCTTGGGAGCGGGGGGAGCCGGGACCGGGGTGAGGGTCATCAGGACATTGTTCAGGTGCTGAGATTTACTCTTCAGCTCTTTGGCCCGCTTCCTGTGCTCGTCACATTGCTGCTCGAGAGCTGCAGGACAAAAAACACACAGAATTATTTTTCTTCTTCTTTGTTTGACTCTCGACAAAATGTACTTCACTCCTGTTCTACAGTCAAAGACGGGAAGGAGCGGTTGTTTAATTTGAATGTTTATCAGATGGCCATGTTTGTCTCTGAAGGCTGAAGAAACATCAGGATGGTTTGTTTTGTTTGTGTTGTTATTATTAAGTGTCTACTTTTGGTTTCTGTGTATGAATAACGGTGTCTTGTCAGCCTGTTTTGAGCCGGGCATGTTGTTTATGCATGACAAAATAATCAGGGTTCTTTCACTGACCTGCGAGGCTGCGAGTGTACTGCTCTCTGTATCGGTCCATCTGGCTCTTGTGACTTGCCAGAACCTTCTTCACCAGGTCCAACATCCCAAAGTTCTGCACGATGTTGTTGAGTAAAACGGCATCTAAAGAACAAAAACATCAAAAATAAATTCAATAAGTAATATGTAACTATGACCCCTAGTGTTCAGAATGGGTACTGCCGTCTGAATTCTAAACATTGTAGAGAGCTGTCTCCCCCCTCCTCTCTAGAGTGGATGCTCACACAGGTCACCATGTGGTGGACACTGAAGCTTCAGTGTTTATCCAGCTCTGCATGGGGTCTGTAAACCTTTCTGTGTTCTAACCTCTCTCCATTTTTCAAAAGCATCTCCAATATTGATCCTAGTTTGAGCACGTTTCTGCTCGTGGAGCTTATTAGAAACATGCAGAGGCTTTTTAGGTCGAGTACAATCACTTCTATCTGAACCACTTCTCTCGCCCGCTTCTATCACTGCAACACCTGTTGACCTGATAACTGCTCTCATATCTGGCAAACCGAGGGGCGTCCAAAACGGGCCATGTGTTCAATCCGTTTCTCACCTTTGACCTGCAGTGGTGGGTCACACACTCTCTCCTGCAGCCCCTTCAGCACCTCCTGCAGCTCCTTCTGAAAGTCCTCCACCACCTCGTCCAGAAGCCCCGCCTCCTTAACCCCACGCCAGAACGCCACCGAGTCCTCTGGATGCACACACACACACACACACACACACACACGCACACACACACGCGGGTTCAGAGTCAAACACCACTCAGGCAGTTTTAAAAGACGTTAAGTGAGATAGAGTGTGTGCAGGTTGATGATCACCTCCAATGGCTGTGACCCACTCAGACGTTTCCTCTGACACATCAGAGAAAGACGCTGAGGCTCCGTTCACTGAAACACACACAGTAAAGATGCTCAATAAACAGAAAACAACAGTAAACAACATTTTCTTCAAACATCATCAGACTGATCATAAATCTTTATCCTCTGCTGTGTTCATTCTGAGATACACACTTTGACAGGTTTGACGCTTTTTCACCCTGAAAACATCGGACTTCATGATCATAATCCCTGCGCCAACACTTTTTAAAGGTCCAATCAGTGAGATGTGTAGTGAGTGAAATGATAAAGTGAGCTTACTATATGATCAGACATTAAGGAAACATGCTATGTTGAAGTGCTGGCTTCTCTGACAACAATGCAGCAGCCAGTATGTCCTCCTTCTAACTTTAGATTCTGGTGCTGAATGCTCTGGATTTGTTTGGACCAGAGAAGGTAGGCGGTTCTGTTTCCTGGAACAGAAGCAGCACTACGATGAGAACTCACAGTCGGCCGAGGAGGACGTGACAGAAACCAGTTCAGCTTGGTCGCTGCTCAGGGACACTTTGGTTCCCACCAGGTCGATCTTGGTGCTGCGGCAGGTGTTGGAGCACACCTTTGTGTGCTGGTAGAAGTCCAGTTCACCTGAGTCCATGATCTTCCTGTGAAGGTAAACATGGTGAAAGGCTTTACTAAGACATAATACTCGACATGAGACAGAGCACCTGTGATAACTGGTAGAACAGCGCCACCCTGAGGCCATTTTTCAACTGACCATCAGATAACGGGAGGAAGAGATGGTTTTAACTCTGTTTGATGATGAGCCTCCACGAACACCGCTCTCATCATAAGCTTTTTTTTTTTTTTTTTTTTTTTTTTTTTTTAAGATTGGGCTTTTTGCCTTTATTGAACGGGACACGAGCCACAGACCAGACCCGAACCAGCGCCGCCCGTCTCGAGGACCACAGCCTCTGTACGTGGGGCGTGACCTAACCAT